TGTGTGTGTGTGTGTGTGTGTGTGTGAAGGGGGGGAGTCACTCTGGTAAACGCCAGGATGCTACCTGGCCTGGGCCACTTGGCCCTCTGTGTGGATTTGTGTATGTGGGTGGGTGGGTATGTGGGCGCGCGCACCGTGCACTGTGACTTAATGGAGTACAAAATCGGTGTCAGAGCCCACCCAGCCTCCTAAGAACTCGCCTTGGAATCTGATGTTTCGTCTTCTGAAAGAGAACCAGGTCATTCAGCGTCCCTGGACACACAGCACAGATAACTCTTAACCGAGAGTCGTTCTTGCCCGTCTGCTAACTACTTAATTTTTCAAAACCAGGTCGAGCCCCGAGGAGCAATCCCTTTCCGTGTTAATTCTTCATTCATTGAGTAGTCACTCATTAAGCATCTGCCAAGCCTAGACGCTGGGGATTAGAAGACGTAAAACCAAGTAGTAATATTTAAGATCAGTGAGCCTTCGGTGCGCCAGGATCTGCTCTAAACACTTTTTACATGTATTGCTTCATTCTTACAACCACTTCGAGATTCAGGCACACAGAGCTGAACTGCCCCCTAGGGTCCTCTAGCATGTAAACGTGACAGGGCAGATGGCCTGGATATCAATATTCTCCAGGACCACCGTTCCAATGCGTCCTTCTATTATTCATTGTCTGGCTCTCCAATTATGCAGCAAGTGACTGAGAAGACCATGACCTTCAGGTGCACCTTAGTCTTCAAACTGGCTCTTAAACAAACAGACATTCTTCTGATATTCTCATCTTTAAGCCAGGCTCCATCTGATATCTACAATTATATCCTTGGTGCCACAGCCTCTTCTAAACCCTGCTTAAACTTCTGGCAGTTCCCTGTATATGTACTGTTATAGTAGTTTTTAGATGATCTGCAGCAGTATTTTGCTTGCAATGTGATATTAATGATATTGTTGTATTATTTTCACATTCTTCTGGTTCACCTTTCTTGGTAATGGGAACAAATTTCATCTCTTCCAGTCGATTCTAAGGCATTTGTGGATCATAGCAAATTATGGCTAACATTGAAAAGAATGGAAATCCCAGAAACTTGATTGTGCTCATGTGAAATATATACCTAGACCAAGAGGCTGGTGTATGAATAGAGCAAGAAAATAATACATGGTTTAAAATTACGAAAGGTGTGTGCATCAGGGTTCTATCCTCTTCTCCTTACCAACTGAATCTCTGTGCTGAACAAATTGTTCAAGAACCCGGACTCTATGAAAAAGAATGTGGCATTAGGATCAGAAGAAGAGTCCTTAACAACTTGCATTACACTGATACTATAACCTCATTGTGAAGAGTGAGGAGGACTTGAAATGCTTGCTGCAGAAGATCAAGGACTAAAGCGTGCAGTATGGATTACAACTCAACATCAAGAAAATGAAGGTCCTCACCATGGGGTCAACAGTCAACATCATGATAGGTGGAGAAAGGACTGAAGCTGTCAAGTTACTTTATCTTGCTTAGATCTGCAGTCAACACCCTTGTTACCAGCACTGAAAAAATCAGGAGACATATTGCCTTTGGCAAGTCTGCTGTCAGAGACTTCTCCAAATTAGTTAAGAGTAGTGATGCCGCCAAAGCTCCAATTTAATCAAGAAATACTTTTTAAAGGTACATTATGTGTCAGAATTATAAAATATCTCCACAATGAAGATGTACCTTTACAGTTACAGTAGGTCGTTCATATCCACATCAGCAGATTCAACCAATCAGAAATTTATAATATTAGGAGAGAGGGGAGAGAAATTACTCCTAAAAAGCAATTGAATGGCTAAAAGAATAACTAACAAATAAGACTTAAAGGAAGTGAAAAGTGCTATCTGCATAGCATTTCTGTTGTATTAGATATTATAAATAACTTCTTGTTGTTGATTGCTGTCGATTCAAGCATGATTCATAGCGATCCTATGAATAGAAGACCTGAAGCCTTTTCATAACTATCGTCATTTCTCAAAATTCATAGAGTTTTCAGAGGAATGATGTTTAGGAAGTGGGTGCCACTCTTGCTTCAAAACCTGTCTTCAACTAGGAGCTCCACCAAATACTATCTACCATGGGTAACCATTAATTAACATTTGACACCCCAAGGGCACAAGGTTCAGCATCATAGCCATCCCAAGTTACCTCAGTACAGCAAATTGACAGAAGAGTGCTGTACCTTTTAGAAGAATGTTCCTCCAAAATATATTAACAACCAACTTTTAGAGTCTTGTTGACTCTAAACAAGAGGCTTAAAAAAACCAAAACCAATATATATGTTGTTGTTGTTGTTGTTATGTGCTATCAAGAGGCCTATAACTAATAACCCTATGTACAGCAGCTTTGTACCCGTTCCTGTCCTGATCTAGTCTCACTAATTCTGATACACCAACCCCCATCTCCCAGTTACTGTATCAATCCATCTCATGCTGTGTCTTCCTCTCCTGTGCTGTCCCTCAATCCTTCTGAGCATGAGATGCCCTTCTCCAAGGACCGGTTTAGAGATAGTGTAAAGTGTGCCAGAGGATGTGAGTAGATTATATGCAAATACTACACCTTTTTATTATACACTTTCTCTACTAATTGCCACTGAGTTGGAATCAACTCAGAGCTGACCCCTCCACTGGATTTTTGAGGCTATGAATTGCCCAAGAGGAAAGTGTCCATCTTTGATTTGCAGAGCTGCTGGTGAATTCAGAGTGCTGGAGTTTTGGGGTTAGCAGGGCACCTCCCCACAGGCTGAACCACCAGAGCGTGGTACCCTCTGGAGTCCGGGAACCAGTGCCCCTTGGATACCAAGGGACAACTGTATGAGTAAGTAGAACGTTAGTTACGAAGTCATTCTCTCCAAATGAAATGTTTCTTTGTTTTAACAT